AAAAAAAACTAAATCTGCACTTACCACATGACCCAGCAGTTGTGTTATTGGGCACATCACTAACAGATAAAAACATATTCATACAAGAACCTGTTTTCTAATGTTGATAGGCTTCATTTTTCATGCCAGAAATTTGGAAACAAACCAAATAGATGAATAGTTATATTCTGGTATATTATATAATGTACTACCACTCAGCAATAAAAAGGAATTAAACTGTTAATAAATGCATCAAACTGGATGGTTCTCCATAGAATTGTAGCAAGTAGGAGGAAAAAAGTATTTTAAATAGTTACAAAGTCTGATTACATGTATGTATATGTGTGTATGTGCATTCACATATTTATATACACACATACATTTTCAAAATGGCGCAGGTGGGGCCTTACTGGTGCGCAGCAGCATGAAGGATAGCACTATGAAGCTGTTGCAGCCACTACAGCACCAGTTCCATCCCCAGCCAGGAAGGTGACCCTTGTGGCACAGTGGACCTCTCCTGTCTCGCCTGCTGTTCCCCTCACCAGTGTATTTCAGTCACTCTGCCTGTTCTGATCCCCACTCTATCTCTGGTGAATCCTCTCACCCCCTGCACCCCTGGCCTATACACCAATTTTGTATCTATAGATAAATAAATCTTTAAAAAGAAATGGCACAGGTGTAGAGATAGAGATGAGGTTTGTGATTGCTAGGGAACAGGGTCAGGTTGAAAGTTGCAAGTATAAATTGATAGCACCAGAGTTCTGTGGAGATGGCACACTTCTGTGTCTTGATTGTGATGGTAATTACTTGAATCTGTACACACAGGATAAAATTACATTAAACCACACAATGCTTTCTTATATAGAAAATGTTTTATTAAGGTACAAGTATTTTGTATTTTACCCCAAAAGTTACTGAAGTGTTTTAAATGGAGATGTAGTATTCATATTTAGGTTTTATATTTCATCATATACCAAGATTTATTCCAGGTGATGCTTTTTTTATATAATGTTGTTTATATGCACACTTTCAGGTTGAAGTTGTTTGTTTTATGAAGATTTAACTTTGCATTTTTAGTATTTCTACAATGTATTATCATATTTTTAATATTTAGACATTAAATATTTAAATTTAATAATACAAATGTAAATTACATACCAAGTAATTGATAATAGAACTCTTATTGAAGCTGCTTTAATTTGTCCATATACGTTTGGGCTTTAACCTTTTAGTTTTAGTTAAATTAAGTAGGCACACAGACCTTTGCTATAGAAACAATATGGAAACATAAAGAACAACATGACTTACTTTCCTCTGCAAAATAGAAGCCTGATGAGACATATAGTAGTGGTAGATAAAAACTTTTGAAGAGCAGTTTAATATTAGGGGGATTAAGTCTCAGCTCTACCATTGTGATGGCCTGAGTTCTATCTCCACCCAGGGAACTGACCCATATGGTGCAGCAGGCCTTTCCTGTTTTGCCTGCTGCTCCACTTAGTAGTGTACTTCACTAGATCTGCCTCTTCTGCTTCCTCGCTCTGTTTCTAATGAATCCTCTTAGCCCCTGCACCTCTGGCCTGTACCTCAATTCTATGCAAATGTAAATAAATAAAATCTTTTAAAAATAAGTAGATTATTTAATAGTAATTTGTAGATTGCCTACAACATAATGCTGCTTTGGAAATGCTATGGGATGATAGTCTAATTTATTTGAGGTTCTTCAGATGCTGAGGAGATGCTGAGAAGATTCCTGAGATGCTCAGAAGAAGCCTTATTTTTCTTATTCTGTAGTTTAGACACTTGGAGCTGTTGTTGATCAAAATAATGTGTAATGAGATAAATTCCTTATATGCTTGATTACCTTTCCCCCACTGCCAGCTTACTATTGAAATATAAAGAACAGGTAGCTTATGTCTTTGCCAAGCTCATATTAATGTGAGTTATCTAATATGGCTAGGGTTCTTTGGCATATGGTACTTACTGCTATGTTATATGATAGTTGGGTAACAATAGACAGTAATAAACTTTCTTATTTTAGATTTAACTACATCAGTTTGAACAGCTACTTTGTGGCTATAATTCTTTATTTTTTTAAACTAAAATTTGTTCATCTCACTTTTTTTTTAAGATTTATTTATTCATACAGAACTGGGGTACAGGCCAGAGATGCGGAGGGTGAGAGGATTCACCAGGAGCAGAGTGGGGAGCAGAACAGGCAGATCTACGAATTACACTGCTGAGGGGAGCAGCGGGCAAGACAGGAGAGGTCTGCCACACCATGTGGATCTCCTCTGGGGCAGGCAGGGATCGAACTCATGCGGAAGTGGCTTTAGCTTCTTAGTGCTGTGCTTTAACCCACTGCGCCACCAGGGAGGGCCAGTGGCTATAATTCTTATTGAACTAATTGTATTAACGTCATGAATAAAATGAACATTGTCCTCTTACTGTACTTAGAGGTGAATGGTAAAGTTGTTGCTTTCTCTACCTTCACTAGATAAACAATTGATTCTATCAGATAACTTGCTGAATTTATGATTAAACATAAAACCAACACATATAGTAGAAAAAATGGCTTACCACTTATTAGCAATGAGTTTGGGCAAGTTCCTTATTCTTTCTTAACTTCAGAGTCTTCATCTGTATACTTGTAAAAAAAGAAAAATGCCATATGTGCCACAGAGGGGTTTATAATTAAATTGACTGATTCAGTTAAAACAGATAGGTTATCATTTTGTCCTTACTTTTTCACCTCTGTGTACAAATGTGGATGACTCTCCCTTCAAATTACTGCTTTATGCCTTCTGCCTCTGTACAAACCATAAGAGAAAAAAAAATGGACTTTCTTTTGTGTGTGCACACATATGCCTGTACTTTTAAAATTTCTTCATTAGTTATTAATTTCTTTAGGCTATGTATGTGTGTGATTTTCACCTTTTCTTTCTTTTTCTAAAGATTTATGTATTTATGCATACAGAACTGGGGTATAGGACAGAGGTGCAGGGGCAGTGAGAGGATTCACCTGAGACAGAGTGGGGAGCAGCACAGGCTGACTGACGAAGTACACTCCTGATGGGAGCAGCCGGCGGGTCAGGAGAGGTCTGCCGGGAGAGGTCTGCCGCGCTATGTGGGTCACCTCTGAGGCAGGATCGAACTCATGCTGAAGTGGTTTTAACTTCATAGTGCTGTGCTTTAACAGATTGTGCCACCAGGGAGGGTCCCACCTTTTCTTTTTTAATGAAATATTTCTCACCTAAAAATTTTAAACTTATTTATATCAAAACATGTGAACAGAAATTACAGATGAAAATACTGATAGATACTTGACTACATAAATATTAAAATATTTATAGAAAACAGCTTTAAGTAGATTGAATGTGTGTTTATACCACCCATAGATATTTGACAGATGCAATTTAATTTTTTTGGATGCAGAAAAAGAACCAGTAAGGAATACAAATCATTTTATACAAAAGCACACAGGAAAGGCCCAGGAATTTGAGGCCATGGGTGTTTCTAAAAGTGGGATGTGAGATGGAGCTGAAAACAGAAGTAATTAGTTGAAAATCTACAAAAGAAGCAGTTAGAGTTCCCAGGTTTTTCTTTGATGTATTTATATAATCCAAGTGAAAACCACCCTAAGACATTTAGCCCTTAGAGGGAATGAAATAGAGGTGTTCGAGGTTCTAGAGTAATTTAAGGCGTAAGGATCCAGAAAAAAGGGTGGGTTTAGAAGGGCAAGTATAATGTAAAACTGAATACTGAATAGGGAGATTGCTAATCTCCTTTTTTTTAAGTTATTATGTTTTTAAAGATTTATGCCTACAGAATTGGGGTACAAACCAGAGGTATGGTGAGAGGATTCACCAGAGACAGAGTGGGGAGCAGAACAGCAGGAGTACATTGCTGAGGGGAGCAGCAGGCAGGTCAGGAGAGGTCTGCCAGGCCATGTGGTCACTTCCAGGGCCAGGGATTGACCTCAATGCTGCAGTGGTTTTCGCTTCTTGTGCTGTGCTTTAACCTGCTGTGCCACCAGAGAGGGAGGGCCCACTAATGTCTTTTTTTAACTTCCAAAATGCTTGCATAGGTTTATGGATATTCACATGCACAATAATGTATTTTAATCCCTACCTTACATCTTATACAAAAATTAACTCAAAATGGATCAAGGACCTAAGTGTAAGACCTAAAACTAGAAAACCCTTAAGAAAAAACATTGAAAAATTTCTTGCTGTTAACAGCGGTTTCTTAAGTATGATGCACACGAACAACAAAAGGGGGAAAAAAAAAATAGGGCCCTCCCTGGTGGTGCACCGGGTTAAAGTGCAGCTATCCTAAGCCACTGCAGTACTAGTTTAACCCCCAGCCTGGGGAGTGACTCACATGGTGTGGCAGACCTCTCGTGACCAGCCTGCTACTCCCTGCAGTAGTGAATTTCAGTATATTTGCCTGTTCTGTTCCCCACTCTGTCTCTGGTACATCTTCTCACCTGCCTCCTGCCCTGCATCTCTGACCTGTGCCCTAGTTCTTGTATGTATAAATAAATAAATCGTTAAAAAAGAAAAAGAAAAGAAAAGAAATTGATAACTTCAACTTTATCAAAACTAAAATTTTATGCAGCAAAGGATATGACCAACAAAGTGAAAAGATAACCTACAGAATGGGAGATAATATTTACAAATTATATCTACAAGGGATTAATATTCAGAATTTATAAAGAATTCCGATAGTTCTACAACAGCCAGACAACTTTACGTACACACTGATATTCTTCCAAAGAATGTTGATTTTTTTGTTTGTCTAGGTGGTACTTGACTGGTGTCAGCCTACAAAATCTTTCTGTGGTTAGTGTCAGTTGATAATCACATTTCAGATATTTTAGTCTTGGTTATCTTTTTTTAAAATAACATTTTATATATCCATATATATATTATAGGTAGAATAAATAGCCTACAGTTTGTTTATTGTAAAGTGCATGGTTAATGAATTGTATTTTTGTGTTTTTGTTCTTTCTTCCTAACTAGCTCCTGGGCTATAATGAAAAACCAATAAATCTGCAGATGTTTATTGGAACAGCAGATGATCGATATTTGCGACCTCATGCATTTTATCAGGTGCATCGAATCACTGGGAAAACAGTTGCTACTGCAAGCCAAGAGATAATAATTGCCAGTACAAAAGTCTTGGAAATTCCTCTTCTTCCTGAAAACAATATGTCAGCCAGGTATCTTGAAACATAGCTAAAAAGAACATATCTAGTTCTTTCTTTTCCTAAAACCACTTCTGCAAAAAACACTGCTTTTCATAGTACAAAAATAAAATGTGTATTGTTCTAAATTATCAAAATACATTATATAAAGAATTGTTGTGTACTTGCTAGGGTTAGTAACATATTTCTAAAAGAAATATTAGCAAAAAGTCATAAGCCACTTAGTGAAAGGTAAGCATCATGCTAAGTGACAGAGATAAAAGTACAGGTGACTTTTCATATGCCCTTCTGGTTTCAAAATAATAGCCAGCAGGATATCAGAGTCACCAATATTAATTTAGAGATTGCCAAGGACTTGTTTTAAAGCTTTTTCAGGTCTGACCGAGAACTCTAACATTTAAAAATAACTAACAAATGAATATTTAAATAATGTTTTCTTTTCAGAAAAAAGAAATGTGTGTATGTGTATACTTTTATAAAATTAGCTTATAGTCCAAAAAGGTAGAGAGTAAATAAGCAATAGTAGTATAATAGTTGAGGTGCTTGAAGAAAAAATTTGCTTCCAGTTTTCTGTTAGACCTATCCCCAAGTAAAATGATAATGGCCAACTTCTGAGTGAGGATATTCTAAAGTGGGAAGAAAGTGAGAGAGAACTTCAGTTGAAATCAGGCCTCTTTTGGGCCCTCCCTGGTGGTACAACAGGTTAAAGCATAGCACTCTGAGGCTGTCCACAGCCATTGCGCACAAGTTGGGTTCTCAGCCAGCCTGAGAGGTGACCCACATGACATGGCAGACCTTTCCTGATTTGCCTGCTACTACCCTCAGCAGTGTATTTCAGTACATCTGCCTGTTCTGCTCCCCACTGTCTCTGGTGAATCCTTTCACCCTCCACCTCTTTGGCCTATACCCCAGTTCTTGTATGTATAAATAAATAAATCTTCAACAAAAAGAAAAAAAGAAATCAGGTCTCTTTAAAGAATTTTTTCCCAGAAACCTACCCAACTTAATGAAATATACTATATTTCATTGACCATCCTATGTAAAGGGAAAACGTGGGTGTGTTTTTCTACTTGAGTATATTGCCATCTCTAACAATGTAGAGGCATACATATTACTAAGGAAAAGGGGAAGAAAGGATATTTAGGGCCCTCCCTGTTGGCGCAACAGGGTAGGACACAGCACTGCAAGCTGGCCGCAGCCTCAGTGTGAGTTCGATCCCCATGGCAACGCAGATCTCTCCTGACCTGCCCGTTGCTCCCCTCAGCAGTGTACTTCATAGATCTGCCTGTTCTGCTCCCCACTCTGTCTCTGTGAAGCCTCTCACCGCCCCTGAGCCTCTGGCCTGTAGCCCAGTTCTGTATGTACAAATAAATAAATCTTTAAAAAAAAAAAAGTAAGAATTGGGCCCTCCCTGGTAATACAACCAGTTAAAAGCACAGTACTAGGAAGCTGTCCACAAGTACTTCAGTACAAGTTTGACACTGGCCAGGGAAGTGACCCACATGGCTCAGTAGACTTCTGTCTCGCCCGCTGCTCCCCTCAGCAGTGTACTTTGTCAGTCTGCCTGTTCTGCTCCCCACTCTGTCTCTAGTGAATCCTCTCACCGCCCATACACCTCTGGCATGTACCCCAGTTCTGTTTGCATAAATAAATAAATCTTTAAAAAAATTATCTCAGGACATAACTTGCCCTGTTATATAGTTATTACCAGAAGAGACAGTTAACATAAACTTAAATAAAACCTTATTTTTGCCTGCTTAGTTTAAATGGACAGTACATGAGAACCTAACTGGATCAGTTGGTTGTCATTCCAGAATGTCATTACACAGATGCTCACAGAGTTCTTTCATAGCAAAAACAGAATGTTAGCTGATAATCTCTGCTCTTCTTAAATTCCTGAGTTCTGTAGAATAAAAGGAGCGTTGGAGTTTACCCAATGCTTGCTCAGGCACTGGAGCAAAAAACTCTGAAAGAAAACATTGGCTCTACCTCCACGCATTCTGTTTGACCCATTTCAAATAAGTTTATATGGCTTGCTTCTGAATGAAAATGCAAGGAGGCGTTTTCTTTTCTTTACTCTAGGATCTTACTTTTTCATCTTGCATAAAATCATATGAGTCATCATCTGTAAAGGGAAATTTTAAAACTCCATTTTGAACTATCTTTTTTTAGAAAGTCATAAAATTGATCCTATGAGACATTTTGCAGGCCATGTTTCCATTCGTCCTTCTGGATATTCAAAACACTAGACTTGAATTAAGTTAAGTAGAAACTACCAGAAGCTTATTATGTTTCTTAACTTTGCTTAAAGGACAGTATACGATTGCCATAGACTTTATCACATTTACCTTCTGCCTCGGCTCCATTAAATTCGTGGTCAAGCTCAATTATTGGTAATTTGTGTAACCTTATAGATTTAGAATATATTTCCTTTTTTGTTCTTTAGAAATATTTTGCTTAGTTTTTCTTGACCTTATTTGTATTTATATTGTAAAATGCCCTGTGTCCTTTCTAAAAATAATGTATGCAGGGCCCTCCCTGGTGCCTCAGCAGGTTAGAGCGCAGCACTACGAAGCTATCCTCAGCCATTGTAGCATGAGTTCGATCCCTGGCCAGGGAGGTGTCCCACATAGTGTGGCAGACTCTCCTGTCCTGCCCACTGATCCCTCAGCAGTGTAGTTTGGTCTTTCTGCCTGTTCTGTTCCCTACTGTCTGTGGTGAATCCTCTCGCCCCCTGCACCTCTAGCCCAGTTCTTGTATGCATAAATGAATAAATCTTTTAAAAGAAATAAAAATAACATATCTATAAAATTAAAGAAAAATTATATGAGTTTCTAAGAAAAATTCTCAAGAAATTAGGAATGCCTCAGTGAAAGTCTGAAAAAAATCAGAATCTTTGAATTGGAACATACCTACCTGCTCATTTTCACATTTTCTAGCACATGGAACATAAATGGTAGTTATGATATATGTCCATTCCCCTTATGCCTGCATAAGGCTGGAAAGCACAAAAGTACAGAAATAGTTTCACTGCAACAAACATCCCGTCCCATATTAGCACATACATATCAGAATCTTTTCTGACTATTCTATTCTACCTGTCCGGGATTGTTAGATTGGAGACAGGAATTCTATGGGAACCTAGGCCTAAGGCTACATTGTGTGTGTCCAAGAAAGGGTGGAATATATGTCAAGTTACCCAATTGTAAGAAACTTTTCTGTCTCCCTTTCATAATTGAATGCTAATGTGGATGAGCCTGTTTTACTCCCAACTTATTACTAAGATAAGTTACAGTGATATAGTTTCAGATAGTAGTAAATAAAAAATTCATGGATGATGGTTAAAGGGGCCTCCGTGGTGGCCTAGGGGTTAAGTCTCAGTGTTATCATTGTGAAGGCTTACCAGGGAGCTGACTCACATATACAGCAGACCTCTTCTGTCATCTGCTGCTCCCCTTAGCAATGTATTTCAGTAAATCGTCTGCTTTGCTCCCCACTCTGTTTCTGGTGAATCCTCACTCCCTGCACCTCTGGCCTGTACCCCAGTTCTACACAAAAATAAAAAATCTAATCTTTTTAAAAATAAATATTATAGTTCATAATTGCACATATTTATGTGTGCATGTTAAATGGCTTCATTGTTCTATAAAAGTAATAAGGTAGGGAAAGTTTAGTAGATATCCTCTTTGTTTTGCCTACTGTACCACTGGCCTGGTCATTTTAAGCCTAATCTACCTTGCATGTAAAGATTCTTAATTCAAGATTGCATACACAATAGAGCCATTATATAAGTACTTTAAATATAGGATGCAAGTATTCACTGCTTTCTTTACTGCTCGTAACTCCCCGTTTTTAGAGCTAGATTCAATATGGGTGTGATAGTGTTACATTTGACTTAAAATAATAACTGTTGGGGTAAGCACATTTTAATAGTTATTTTCATTCATAAATATACCTATTTTTGTTAGTGGTTTGTTTTTTCTTTGTTACTAGAACTTTAAGATTGTCATTTCTGATACTCTTAAGCCAGATCTTCTATTAGAAATTTTGTTCTCTGCTAAAACACCTTCCTGGGCCCTCCCTGGTGGTGCAGTGGGTTAAAGCACAGCACCAAGAGTCTAAAGCCACTTCAGCATGAGTTTGATCCCTGCCTATCCTGGAGGTGGTCCTACATGGCACCACAGACCTCTCCTGGCCCGCCCTATGCTCCCCTCTCTATCTGCCTGTAGATCTGCCTGTTCTGCTCCCCACTCTATCTCTAGTGAAGCCTCTCACCCCCTCACACCTCTGACCTGTACTCCAGGTCTGTATGCATAAATAAATAAATGTTAAAAAAAAAACACCTTTCTTCAGAATTCAGTAAAATTAATCTGAAGATTTACCCTGCAGACTCATATTAGCACGTTAATAAGAATGTTAGTAAGAATAAAGTACAGTTGTCCAGTATTAGTTAAATGTAATTTCTTAGCTAAAATATCGAGTCTTTATTTTCAGATATTTCCTGAAATTTTAGAAATTTCTTCTGGTTTCTTCCTAAAAACGAAAAGCTCTTTTGGGATTCTTCCTTGTGTTCTACCAGTCTTACCTAGATGACTTAGTTTTGTAATATGTGATTTTTGCAGTCTCTGGGCAGTTAGCATTAGGGTTGAAATTATTGATAGGAAGAATGATAAAGAAAGAATACATAAAAGCTAGTGAAATTTAGATTTTAAAATGTTAGATCATCAGCTGCCCACTTGCTATTATCCTTCCGTTATGTGAATAGGAAAAATATTTTGTGGATATTATTGTTTTCCACTGTAACTGTGTGTTAAGTAGCTAAGCTTAGTAATAAATTTTGAAGATAATGAAATGTTAGACCTTAAATGCCAAAACTTTAAAATTTTTGCATGAAAGAATTGGGTGCAGGCCAGAAATGTGGGGTATGAAGATCTCAAGAGAGACAGGTGGAGAACAGAACAAGCAGATTTACTGAAATACACTGCTAAGGGAAGCAGGTAGGCAGAGACAAGATTGGTCTGCTGAGTCATATGTGGGTGAGCTTCCTGTCGGATCGAACTTGGGCCTTAGTGGTGATAGCACTAAGATTTAACCCCTAGGCCACCAGGGAGACCCAAATGCCCGAACTTTTTTTTTTTTTTTAAAGATTTATTTATTTATGCATACAGAACTGGGGTACAGGCCAGAGGTGCAGGGGCAGTGAGAGGATTTACCAGAGGCAGAGTTGGGTGCAGAATAGGCAAATCGTCGGAGTACACTTCTGAGGGGAGCAGTGGGCTGGTCAGGAGAGGTCTGCTGCTCCATGTGGGTCACCTCTGGGGCAGGCAGGGAGCTAACTAATGCAGAGTGGCTTTAACTTCTTAGTGCTGTGCTTTAACACACTGGGCCACCAAGATAAAAGGCCCGAACTTTAACCTTTTCTATATATTCTAGAAATGCAAGAATTTTAGCCTGATGGATTGTTATTACTATTAAACATCACTATGAAAGTCTAAATTTACTATTTTTTTTGTTTTGTTTTAGTTTTTTAAATGGATTCATTACGTCATCCTTCATTTTTGTACCCATGTATGGTTTCCCTGTGAAATTCCCACCACCAGTTCACCCGTGCTCCATCACATAGTCCATTGTGCTCTTCCCACTTCTGGTCCTACTCCTTCCTCCTCCCCTACAGAATGTCTCTGATCTGTAGTTGCCTGATGATTTTGATTTTTACTTTATTATAGTTAAAAAGTCTAAATTTACTGTTAATGACTTTGTAGTCTTGCAAGTAAATCTGTGACCCACTTACATGTATAAATTAAAGAATCCTTTTTTGTTTCATTTATCTATTTCTATAAAGTGTACTACTTTAAACATTTAGTAACTTAAGTAATAACTTTTAACATTTTTCATAATCTGAAAGAGCAGAAAATTGCAGTCATAACTTTCTTTTTCTCCCCCCAAGATTTATTTATTTATTTTTAAACATTTATTTATTTATTTATGCATACAAGAAACTGGGGTATAAGTAGAGGTGCGTGGGGGTGAGAGAATTTACTAGAAACAGAGGAGCAGAACAGGCAGGTTCACTGAGCAGCAGGTGGAGCAGGAGAGGTCTCCTGTGCCATGTGAGTCACCTTCCTGATCAGGGACTAAGTTTATGCTGAAGTGGCTGTGGATAGCTTCATAGTGCTGAGGCGACACCAGGGAGGCCTCATTTCTTTCTTTATTGACCTAATTTTAGGTAGAGGTAGTTCTTCGCTGCCAAATTAGAAATAGCTGAGTCATTTAGAACTACTAATTATCAGTGAGTAAATGTGTTTTTTGCATTTTTCTTTCTAGTATTGACTGTGCAGGTATTTTAAAACTTCGTAATTCAGATATTGAACTTCGAAAAGGAGAAACTGATATTGGCAGAAAGAATACCAGAGTACGGCTTGTGTTTCGTGTTCACATCCCACAGCCCAATGGAAAAGTCCTTTCTCTGCAGACGGCTTCTATACCTGTTGAATGCTGTGAGTGAGCCTGCGAAGATGTTTTAAATTTTTGTTCAAAATAGGTCATTTTTTTGTCTTGCTTATAATGTAATGTTGGGCTAAAAAGTGAAACTGAGGCAGTCTCAGTAACTCATGTAATTTTCTTATATGGAAATACATGCTTATGTGAAAAGAGTACTGATTTAGAGTTAGGGAATGGCTTCTCATAATTTGACCCTAGGTAGTTTTTGTACTATAGACAAACATCTTGACCACTGTTTTCTTATCTATAAATGTTGATACTTTGCGTACCAAATTGTGAAGTTAAGATTCTGATGGAAGTGTCCTTGGTCATCTTCATTTCAGTTTTAATGGTGAAAGATGCCAATCTCTGTGAACCAATGCCTCAGCTCAGGGAGGACTTACAGAATTTTGTGGTTTTGGATTTTTTTTTCCCATACATTTATTTATAACACTAGATTAAGAGTAAGTATTTTTCTACCTGATTTACAAAGAAACCAGAAAAGAGCCTAGAACCTGATAGCTATTGATGCATTGGAGAATTGGTGGACCTTTAGAGGTTAGCGTATATAGCTACTAGGACAAAAAAGATGAGCTATGTTTAGATCTTGAAGGTATAGACTTAGAAGTGTTCTAATTCCAGATATTGATGCATAGTATCTCAGGTAATCGTCCAAAGTTACTTGCTTGTTGATAACAGAATTATGTCTAGAACACAGAGATTGTTTAGCACTCTTTTGATTATATTCAACTACGGCCCCTCCCCTTTTTTTTTTTTTTTTAAAGATTTATTTATTTGTGCATACAGAACTGGGGTACAGGCCAGAGGCTCCGGGGCGGTGAGAAGCTTCACCAGAGACAGAGTGGGGAGCAGAACAGGCAGATCTACGAAGTACACTGCTGAGGGAAGCAGCGGGCGGGTCAGGAGAGGTCTGGCTCGCCATGTGGTCTCCTCCGGGCAGGCGGGAATCGAACTCATGCGGAAGTGGCTTCAGATTCTCAGTGCTGTGCTTTAACCCACTGTGCCACCAGGGAGGGCCCCGGCCCCCCTTTTTAAAAATAATATAATAGTTTATTTTTGCATCATTTTGTGCCTTTTTTTCCATCTCAGCTGTAATCCCCGTGGGCTTCCCATCACCAAATCACCCTGTGCCATCACCATAGTCCAGTGCACTCCCCTCCCCCCACCATTTTTTATCCCACTCCACTTCGTAAAATGTCTCTGGTATATAGTTGTTCATTATTATTATTATTTTCTCCCTTGGTCCTTTATACTCCTGCTATGAGTGAAAACATCTGGTATTTTTTCTTTTCTCTCTGGCTTATTTCACTCCATCCATGTTGCTGCAAAAGGCATGTGTTTATTTATTTATTTTTTTGGTTGCTGAGTAATATTCCATTGGGTATATGTAACACATCTTTTTAATACAGTCATCTACTTTCGGGCATTTGGGTTGTTTCCATGTCTTTCCAATTGTAAATAAAGCAGCAATAAACATGGGGGTGCAGGTGTCTTTTTGAATCAGTGTTTTTGTGTCTTTTGGGTAGGTACTCAACTAGGCCCCTTTTTTGTAGCAACTATCACTGCCAGGGTATATTATCCTTTCAGTGTATTCTATGCCCATATAAGCATATATATCTCTATTTTTTAACAAAGTGATTTAAATAATTTAAAATCATAGGTTAGTTTGAATTTGTGAGATGAATTACTCCAAAATAATTTTTTCTTCTAGCTTATAAATTAAAATATGATTCTTGTGAATGTAGAAAATGCTGTGTGGCACGAAAATTCTGATAAAGTCCTTGGTTATCCTACAACTGCTTTGTAATACCACCCTGAGGTAGTTATTATTAACTGGTGGGGGGGCAGTTTTTTTTTTTTAGGGGGATATACAAGAGTTTTTAGTTGGATGTTAAAAGACATTTTTATATATTGTTTTAGTATTTTCATAGGAACATTTTCTCATTGTTAAGTATTCTTTGAAAACACTATTTTTAATGCATGCATAATTTTTTAGTACACCTTTGTCATTTGTTGAGCACATTTTTTGCTGATCCTTTGGTGGTACTTGTGATAGCTAGTTTCTACCTTAAATATCTAAATCTTGAATTTGTCTGCTCCCTAGACAATTCAGTGCTGTTTTCATGTACCTTCTCTGTTAGCCTTTGGAACATAAAGATGAACATAATATTTTCCGAGATCCGGGTTAGTGTTACTGTACTTCCCATTAGTAGTTGATCCTAAATCTAGACTGACCCTCCTCTTTGGATGGGGCACAGGACCCCCCCAGATTACTTTTGTGATTTAATATTTACTAGCTAGGAGAGTCACAAACCATTGGGAACTGGGAATATGCTTCCTAAAGTCATTTCCTTAAATTTCCTTAAAATATTGTTTTAGATAAACAAAACACAGTTGACACTCTAAGCCACCAATTTTCAACCCAAGTAGTCATCCTAAAAGTAGACCTGTTTTCTAAATGTGGAGAACATATCCACATGTTTTGTTGTTGCTAATTTTAATCCTCAGAAAAACCTAGGTGACTAGGTTTTTGGCAAGAAGAAATGCTAAGAAAACTTAATCAAAAGAAGTATAATTTGTAGCTTGGAGTGCATGTAATTTAAAAAAAAGAAAGCAAAGAAAAGCCAGAAATAGAATTTTCAGAAAAAGTAGCAACTTGGAATCAGTATCAGAGAAAGGTGGTACCAAGGTTATAGTTTATAAAAGTTGATAATTTAAATAATGACTTTAAGGTATGAAGAAAAATTATGTTCATAGACTCTGGGGAGGAGGAGTTCAGTGTACTCACTAGATAGATAGATATATATTTGATCCATTTACAAAAATTCAATATGGAAATGTGTACTTCATTTACACTTTGTTTAGAAAATTGTCCAAAATGGAATCCTGATGTCTCAATAATGATCTAGATATTTTCTTGATGAAAGGGTGACTTGGTATTATCCTTTAATTGTACATAATATAACTGTACATCTTTGTATTTAATTTGCTCTTTGCAGTTATATTAAATTTGTAATTTTAATATACTTATAGGGAAGAAATTATTAAAGACTTAAGCTAAAGAGTAAGTGGACAGGGTGAATGTTGGATCCAGAATGAAGTTGTAGACATTAATTAATTAATCTATATTGGTTTCTTTATACTTGTAGTTTCAATAAATAATTCAGAAATCAGATAAATCTATTTGTTTTTTAAATAAGGCAGTTACTATAATGGGTATTTATAGCAACATCTTGAATTTTAAAAACACAGAGTTTTTTTTTCTCATTCAGTTGAGTTTGTCATTTATATATAAAAGATTGTAAACTAATATTTTATTTCTTTTCAAACAGCCCAGCGGTCTGCTCAAGAACTTCCTCATATTGAAAAGTATAGTATCAACAGTTGTTCTGTAAATGGAGGTCATGAAATGATTGTGACTGGATCTAATTTTCTTCCAGAATCTAAAATCATTTTTCTTGAGAAAGGACAGGGTAAGTAACATAAAATTTGAGTTGTTGACCTCAAACTAAATTGGAAAAAAGAAAATGAATTAATCAGATGTTTTGTGGACATTAATCACAAAATGTTTTCCCTAAAACTATAGGCATCTTTTTGCAGATTTTACTGTAAATCAAATATTTATCAAATTTTTATATAAATGTTAAGTTTTTATTACAAATGTTTCAAAGGTAGAAGAATCTCCCAGTAGTTTCACTACAAGTGTGTGTGTGTGTGTGTGTGTGTGTGTATGTAGATATGTAGATGTTTAAAAACGGAAGGTTGAAAACTAATGAGACAAACATTTAAATTAAGAATAAAAGCTGTGTTAAGGCAAAAATTATGAAAAAGAAAACAGAAATCAATGAAGTATAGCAGAGAATTGCTGAAACTACTTATTACACACACACACCCAAACATATATGTGAGGGTACCCAGTGAGATGAAGTGGTTTGTAAAACACATGGTTTTAAGTATCAGTGAGACACATATATACATATATATACTTAGATATGTATGTATATATGTATATAAATACACACAGAGAAGAGAAGTAATTCTAGATAAAAGTGCTATGAAGTAAGAAGGTAAAGTGATATGACTGAATAGTGAACTGTTTATATCAAATGGTAAAGGAATGTCTTTCTGCAGGATCATATTTTAGGCTAAACAAGAAGTATAAGGAGAAAACAGGTGTCTTAAAACTATCCCTTACTTTCCATTGTAAAAATTCAGTTGTGTCTAAATATAATAAATATGTATGTATATGGATGTATCATAGACTTCATTTTATTGAACCCAAAGCTTCACATTTAAGAACTTTTGCTTTAAATTGAATTGTGGTAAATGAGACAGTTGTTCACTTTGGATGAGATTTCAGTTGTAAACATGTAATCCCATCCTAAGTGCATTATCAGTGACCCCTTCATATTTTGGGGTTCCTTAATGTAACATTCAGTCTATAAGTGACCATCTTTCTCGCCTCATTTTTTTTTCTTTTTTAATGGAACTAAGTTGTATATTTTATTTCTATAACTTTTTTTGCAGTAACATTGGTTTACAACACTATAGGATTTAGAGGAATAAGTTCATACCTGTTCAGATATTGCCACAGCATACTAACCACCAGAGTGCCTGTAATCTTCACCATAAGCCACTGGTGTTCCTCCCTAGTTTGTTCTCCTACCATTTCAGTAGCTTCAGTCCTGCAGTCAGATTTCTAGGAGTTATTTTGGTTTAGTTTTGTTTATTCCTTTGTTGGTGTCTTTATATTCCACATATAAGTAAAGTCACCTGGTATCTGTCTTTCTCCTGCTGACTTATTTCACTTAGCCTAAGCCCCTTTAGTTTCAGCCAGCAGCCTCATTTCTTACTGCTCCCTCCCTCACACTTCATACTGCACTAGTACAGCTGCATATGGCTCTCTGTATAATGTGGTTTCTTGCAGTGTTTCTTTTACTTATGTTGTCTCTTCTGCTTTACTACTCTTCTCCCCATATCACTTTTTCCTTAAGCCCCATATCAAGATCTTCTCAGTGTGTTTTTTACTGGTCTCATACTCCCACCCCAAGACTAGTTAAGGGATTTGACCTCTGTGCTCTTGGTTATCTAGTATACATTTAGCAGTTATAACCACCACATTGCAGTATAATGAACTGTTTGTATTTACCTTTTATCCACAGATTGAAGGTAGGCTATCTTTTCCCGATTATTTCAATAACCCAAAGTGTCTGACACCTTGAGACCTAGTAAATGATAGCTGAACTGAGCTGCAATCTCTAGTAGGCATTTGTTTGTAATGTCTCTCTACACAGGGTAACCATTGTCTAGTTACTGTCTTTTTTTTAGTCTCATTATCTTTGCAGACCAGTTGAACAGGTCATGCTGTGAAGATGCTTGGATGAGTAGTCACTCATCCAATGAAAAGAATGCTTGACATGAAAAGAATGTTTAGAATAACTGGACATCACATTGGAATGAGAGCTTTAGTTGGAGGGGCTCTCCCCAGATATGCAATGCCCTTCGAATGAAGAGATAGAAAATGTGTTAGCCAGGGTCTCCCTGGTGGTGCAGAGGTTAAAGTCTCAGTACTTTCAGGCTATCACTAGCCACTGCTGCATGAGTTCAGTCCCCAGCCAGGGAGCTGACCCACATTTGGTACAGCAGACCTCGCCTGTCTCTCCTGCTGCTTTCCTTAGTAATGTATTTCAGTAGATCTGCCTGTTCTGCTCCCCACTCTGTCTCTGGTGAAACTTTCACCTCCTACACTTCTGTATTGTACCCCAGTTCTTCTGTACATAAATAAATAAATCTTAAAAACAAAATAGGTACAGTGCTGGAGTTGCTAGCTAGAAGAGGAAACAGACAAATATAGCTGCTTTTAAACATTTAAAATATTGTCTCACAGAGACTCTTTTGATTTTTTTTATTTATTTATTTATTTTTTTTGAGTAGCTCTAAGTGGTAGTACTCAGACCAGTGGTTGGATACTCTGAGGAGACAGATTTCATCTACTCTGGAGCACTTTCCAGCAACAGTTATTGACCAAGGGTGAAATGAATTATTTACTGAGAGAGTGAGAGTGAGTTTCCTTTTCCTTAATGTATAGAAGCAGAAATTGTTAAGGATGCTTGTAAAATACTTTTTATCCCTTTTCAAAGATTCATTTTTTATTTATCTATGAGCACAAGAGCTGTGCTGAAGGCAAGAGGCATGGGGAGTGAGAGGATTCACAAGAGGCAGAGTGGGGAGCAGAAAAATATACTACTAAGGGGAGCAGCAGACTAGAGAAGATTGGTGTGCTGTGTGCCATGTGGGCCTGTTCTCTTGGTGGGGATTGAACCCATGGTTCAGTGGCTGACGGTGCTGAGACTTACCCCCTTGCACCACCAAGAAAGCCCAGTTCTTGTGCAGTATTTTCAAAAATATCTTTTCAAGATCTTTCCTCCATTTTTCCCATTGACATGTATTTTGTTTTTGTAATGGAAGTCAGTAAGAAAAGGGTTCCCTTTGTCAATAAATTTGTGATACTCAATGTGTTGGCTTTTGTTAAGAGTGCAATTTTGTTAAAATGCAATTTTTTTTTAACAGATGGACGACCTCACTGGGAGGTAGAAGGGAAAATAATCAGGGAAAAGTGTCAAGGGGTAAGAAATTTACCTTATTTCTTTAGAAATATTTAAGAAACCAGAGCTGGAGAAAGCAATCCCTGTTACCATGATTCAATGTTATTTCTCCTCTCCATCAGAATCCTTTCTACTATATTCACTGCTCACCCGTATACCTATGGTGAAGGCTATAGACAAGGTCTCGCTAAAATTGTTGGACCACTCTGCAGGGGTGAATATGTCTGTGCTCTGCTGCAGCTGGGATAAATAGATAGCACTGTAGGTTTGGCTCTTAGCAGTCAGTATCTCCTCCTAAGGAAGGACTTACCAGTAGTTCATCCCTTCTGTTCTCTTTAACAATTTTCTTGGCACAGGTGATTGCATCTGTGAGGTCATTAGTGCTCAAGGCTGTTAAAGAAAAGAATATAGCGTTAGTTGAGATTTCATTTATTTGGGGGAAATAACATTTCCTTTGCTTTTCTCACTGATTTTTGAAACAGGATGGTGGTTGTTGAGCTTTAAACTTTACTTTTTTGTTACTAGACCATGTACATCTTGGAGGGAGGAGGGAGAGGCATCAAAATGGGAGGAAGGAGCAGAAAAGTTTGGAGATGGTTCACAAGTGTCTTGGTGGTAGTGACTTTATGGAGACTACACCTGGGAGGGTGAATCAAACAGTGTACAAAAAGGAACAATCGTGCAAAAATATATAAATAAAAATTTAATTGGTTAAAAAAAGCAGAACTGTTTAAGAAACCTGTTAAGACTGAATACTGGATATTGCTGGCAAATATTCAAATTTGGACTAGAAATTCTTTCTTGATATTAAAATTAAAGTTTAGAAATGATTAACAGTCAGTGTCTGTCTTCCCCTTTTTTGTGTATGTAAAAGGAAAGGTTAGAATTGAAAGATTATTAGAACATTTTTCTGATGGTACCATCAATTTATTTTTCTGAGTTCAGTGAAGCAATCAAATCCAGTAAAGAGTATTGTGGACAAAAGATAGGAGGACAAGCTCTTGGTACATATAAGATGCCTTCTCCAAATTCATTAAGCTTTCCAGGATTCCACAGTGAAAACTGGCCTCTTCATCCTGTTAGGAACGGAAGAGAATCTTCTCTGGCACAGGAAATTCCTGCAGTACTCTTCAAAGACCTGGAGAAATTAGTTTAAAAATTGCAGTGGAGGTTTTGGGGTAAAGATTTTCACTATGCTTATGTTAAATTATTTTTGAAACATATGCAGATTTTACATATTGCCGATTCAGAAATTTTTAACATAACATTTACAAAATCTAATCCCATTTGGGAAATACTAAACGTATTTAAAAGCCGGAACAGATTTCTAGTTAAGATGTGTAGTAACATGTAGTTTTCACTAGAACAAAGTATCTCACTACATAGAACATTAAACTTTTATATTTCTGCTATAACCAGAAGTTCAGTTTGTTGGGTAAAAAGCAGTTTCTCCCTTTATAGTTTATTTTAAAGATCTTATCTCTCTTAAGACTCAAGTGTCCATAGAGTAAATCTTAATGTGACCAGTTGATTGTATATTATCTATGACAGGAGAGCCTGAGTAGTTAATACTTAAGAGTTGTGCTGAGTTTAGCAGGTGCATTACATTTTTAGTTCTGAGTGTAACATAACCTTGCCTTCTTTGCTCCTTAGGCTCACATTGTCCTTGAAGTTCCTCCATATCATAACCCAGCAGTTACAGCTGCAGTGCAGGTGCACTTTTATCTTTGCAATGGCAAGAGGAAAAAAAGCCAGTCTCAACGTTTTACTTACACACCAGGTATGAAGAGTTATGATGGCTTACTATAGAGCTTTCTTTCATAATGAATAAGGTTATATGGTAAATCCTAGATTAGAATGTTTGTTCATTACAACATTAGGATGTTATAATCAGCCAAGATCCTAACATGCCTAATCTAAATAGTTTGTGTTGATTTTATATATTAGACTCAGTTCTAGCATTTAACTAAACGTGGGCCATCAGGGAGGGCCCACTCTGGATGTATTCTTAACTACTCATTTACTGTGTTAGATAAAATGAGGAAGAACAGTCTCATACAAAGGTCTGGTGTTTGATGGGATCGTGGAGGATTAAGAGTTATAAGAAGTGAACTTTAATAGGGAAGTGATATGATCTGACAAGTGTTTAAAGATTTTTTTTTTGCTCATAATCCTCCTATCCTCCTTTAAGATGTGCATGACGAGTTGAGTCTTCTCTGAAATTATTAACTGGAGAGTAAAAATTACATGTGCCAAACCCAAGAAGGTTAAAAAGGTGATTCAGACATCTAGAGTATTTTGAATATACAACATGGAGAGCATCAGTGATGCTAAAGAAAGGTGGAAGGGGGTAGGCTTTAAAATATAGACAGGGGAGTAGACTTTAGATGGAGGAGCAGGAAGGAAGGTAAAAGATGGATGAACAAGATGGTAGTGTGGTAAAGTTAGTACTAGGGAGGAGTGGAGTTTCCCTATGCTAGCACCTATCATTTTTCTGTAAATTATGACTTGAAGTTTCCTCATTTGAGCAGAGGGGAATATGGATGATTTGGCATTTAAGGATTATATAGAGAAGTTTGCAATAATAGTTATAGAAAGGAGGTAAGTTACCATGGAAATCTAGTAAGATTCTAGGCATGATTTAAGGGCACTTTGATGTTGATATTTTTGAATTATGAACACTAATTAACCTTTCCATGTAGTTTTCCTAAACAGCACTCAGATTTTTTTTTTTAAAGATTTGTTTGTTTATGCACACAAGAGGATTCATCAGAAAAAGAGTGGGGAGCTTCAGAAGGACAGATGTACTGAAATTATAGTACTAAGGGGAGTAGCGAGTGGGTCAGGAGAGGTCTGCCACACCATGTGGGTCTCCTCTCTAGCCGGGAATTGAGCTGGTGCTGTAGTGGCTTCAGATAGCTTCATAGTGCTGTGCTTTAACCCGTTGCACCACCAGGGAGGGCCTATATACTGATTTTGTAAACCGAACATTTTTATTATTCCTCATCAGTGAATAGAGTTTCATAGAATTTTAATAGCTTTGTAGTAAAATAACATAACAGTGTTATTTTATTTGGTTTATTAGTTTCATGAATTTATGTTAGAAATTTTAATCTCTTATGTTTGTGTCAAATAATTTCTTTTTACAATTACATTTTAGATATCATAAATTACTCTTGTTTTAATTAAATATTTGTTAAGGGCCCTTCCTTATGGCATAGGGGTTAAAGTGCAGCACTACAAAGCTATCCACAGCAATTGCAGCACAAGTTCAATCCCTGGCCAGGGAGGTGACCCACATGGCACAACAGATCTCTCCTTTCTCCCCTCAGCAGTGTGTTTCAGTCAATCTGCTTGTTCTGTTTCCCACTCTGTCTTTCATGAATCCTCTTAACCCCTGTACCTCTACCTGTATCCCAGTTCTTATATCCATCAATGACTCTTTAAAAAAAAATTTCCTTCCAAACAAGAATAAATTACCATAGACCAGTGAGGATTTCCTATGGGTTGATCAGGTTGGAGTCTGAATCCCTTAAAGATAAAAAGTGACATTTGACTTGACAAAAAAGTGGAAATATACTTGATTTAGTAGAACAGAACTCTCAATTTGGGCATCCAGAGATGGGTCAGGAAGATAAAAATAAGTATTGGGTCATGCAAAAAACCATAGAAATATAAAAGGTGTTTTGCTGTAGTTTGCAGTTTCTTTGTTTCCTTTTTAGTTAATGATAACCAACTACTTAGGTAGCCAATGGGCCTTCCTTCTCCATTCATGATTAATTAAGAGATGGGAGTATGCTTTCTTGGATACCTTTGCTCTGGGCATAGAATTCACTGTGACTTACCTAGGACCAGAGTAGGAAGGAGAGTGGAAGAGAAAGAAAAAAGTAGTGATTAGTCCAGAGAGAAAGTTTTAGTTCTGCCAGAAGAGTAGTAAAATAAGCAAAATGCATTAAGACATTAGATAGGTTAGGGGCTTGAAGACACAGTGGACCATTCTTGAAATCTCAGAGAGGCCTGGATCAGGAACTTGGATGTGCACTGTGGTAGAAGAAAAACAATGTTGGTCCTTGGGATTGTCCTTATTGTTAGCTCTAACAGGTTTCTTATGGATTCCAGTGCTTATTCTAACCCCCCATTATTTCTCTTGTAATATGGATCTGATGATGATTTAGGATCAGGTGAAATGTCACATGAGATACATGTGAGTACCTTTGTAAACTAGAAACTCTATCTATGAGTGTCTGATTCATGAATTCTGGTATATGATGCAACATACAAAACCACAAAACTGGTATGTTTCAGATTAGAGATCCCAAATAGAGAATTATATTAAGTTATAAGGTTTTGGGGGGTTTTACAGATTTATTTTTAAATAGGTAGTTTATATTCATGGTAAAGAATAATCAAAAGGTAAAATAGCTTGCACAGTAAAAATCAGTTCTTTCTCCTGCTTCTGTCCCATAGAATAGTCACCTCATTTCCCTTCTCAACAGTAGGCCCAACACATGCATCTTTCCAGAGCTACCTATACATGTTTTTGCAGTATATGCTTTTATATATACACACACATTGTTTTACATAATTTGTGACATACCATACTATTGTGAAATCACTGAGCAACATATCTTAGCTATTTTTCTACATCATTTCAGAGTTCTACACAGTAGTTTTAAGATTTATTTTATTTATGCATACAAGAGCTAGGGTGTAAGAATGGAGAGCAGAACAGACAGATTCACTGAAATACAATACTGAGGGGATCTGTGGGTGAGACAGGAGAAGTCTGCTATGTCATGTGGGTCACCTCCCTGGCTGGGGATTGAACTCGTGCTGCAGTGGCTGCAGATAGCTTCATGTGCTGAGAGTTAACCCTTTATGCCACCAGGGAGGCTCTCTGCAGTATTATTCTTTCTTAACTTGAATATTTTTTTTGAGCAATAATCACTTTTTGCCTATTTTGTTGATTTCTTTTTTTATGTTATCTGCCTTCTCTGAAGACATTTGTTTTCAGCCCCTTGCTTGATTGCATGCTAGAGTTGTATAGCCTAGAATAAAGAATTTTCATAATTATTTTACATGTTTTATAACATTTGCTTTAATTTATTTTTTTTCAGTTTTGATGAAGCAAGAACACAGAGAAGAAATGGACATGTCTTCAGTTTCATCGTTGCCTGTGCCTCATCCTACCCAACGCCAGAGGCCTTCCTCAGATACAGAACACCCATGTGACAGTGTATTGTCTGCACAGAGAAGCTTGGTTTGTCCCATCCAGCAAACATATGCACCCATGGTAACCTCATCCCATCTGCAACAGTTGCAGTGTAGGGATGAGACTACTAGTAAAGAACAGCATATGATACCTTCTTCAGTCATACACCAGCCTTTTCAAGTCACACCAACACCTCCTGTGGGGTCTTCCTATCAGCCTCTGCAAACTAATGTTATATACAATGGACCATCTTGTCTTCCTATTAATGCTGCCTCTAGTCAAGAATTTGATCCAGTTTTGTTTCAGCAGGATGCAGCTCTTCCTAATTTAATAAATCTTGGCTGTCAACCATCATCATCCATACCATTTCATTCTTCAAATTCAGGCTCAACAGGACATCTCTTAGCCCATACACCTCATTCTGTGCAGACCCTGCCTCATTTGCAGTCAGTGGGATACCATTGTTCAAGCACAGGACAAAGATCACTTTCTTCTCCAGTGGCTGACCAGGTAACAGGTCAGCCTTCCCCTCAGTTACAACCCATAACATACAGTCCTTCACATTCAGGGTCTGCTACAACAGCCTCCCCAGCAGCCTCTCGTCCCCTCGCCAGTTCACCACTTTCTGGGCCACCATCTCCTCAGCTGCAACCAATGCCTTACCAGTCTCCTAGCTCAGGAACTGCCTCATCACCATCTTTAGCCACCAGAATGCATTCTGGACAGCACTCAACTCAAGCACAAAGTACAGGCCAGGGAGGTCTTTCTGTACCTTCATCCTTAATATGTCACAGTTTGTGTGATCCAGCTTCATTTCCACATGAGGAGGCAGCTGTGAACGTTAAACCTGAACCTGAAGAGCAGGAACCTAATTTCTCCACAATTGGTCTACAGGACATCACTTTAGATGATGGTAAGTTCGTCTCTTTGTTCTTGAAGCTGTGAAAATTTGAGAACTTTCTTCTTTAAGAGTCATGAAAAAGTTACCACAGTTTGGTTATTGGCACATAGTTGGGCTTTTAAGTAAGTTGTTGTTACTAGAAATACGTTCATATGTGACTTTGAAAATAGATCTAGAAATCCATGCTTAAAAGTCTTATTTTAATACCTTTTGCAAAGAGTGAAACTTTGAGTAATAGCCTAACATCCATCAGTGATAGAACTGAAGACCTAAGATTTATTGGGCGTCTGTTCTCCTGGAACATATAAAGAGGTCACATTGTCTAGAGAATAAAATTGAGGTCCTTAATTCAGTACACACTGCTGTTCAATAGTGTTTTACTAGGAGTTTTTTAAAATAGAGTTCTTGTCCTTAAGGAAATTTGCACAAGAATCTGCTCCTCTGTAGCTCTTCCAGCTTGCTGAATCAGGCAGTCTTGGTGGTACAGCTCTTGGCACAGGAATAAAACGGCAATTTATGTGAAATAACATGGTATGTAGACCTGTTTTTATGAAATCAATAAATTGGAGAACAAACTCTGGAATATTAGTTATTTCAATAATTGAAAACTTTCCAAGTTAGTCTTTTCAGGTAACAACTTCAGAGTTTGTTCTTGATCATTTTATGGTTGACAGCCACAGCTCAGCTGGTTTATCACTGTCTGATTAATGATGAACTCCAGGTAGAGGGATTACTACACTGCTGTGATACAAAACAGATTTGAAATAGTCTTTTCCAAATATATATTGGCTTTTAATACATTAATTTTGTCTAAATAGGAATTCAGTGAAGATTGCCTGTGTTTGTTGACTAGTATGGATATTCTGAAGCATGGATACAGATTTTGCTTTTCTTTTGACTCTCTATTAATCTCTAGAAAATAATTCTAGGTGAACCATCTCTTTATACATGTGGATAGGCTAAGTTTAATACTTAGTTACCAAGCTGGTATTAAATCTCAGATTCTAAGCATAAGGAAAAATAAGTTAAGTAATTTGTGGTATCCCCTATCTTGGGGCTTTACTGTCAGACTAGCATACCACTGTTTTATACAGAGCAATAGGTCTGAGTTACTTAAAACCAAGATGTAAAAGAAGCACCTTAGTTCAGCAGAGTGATATGACTGACTCCAGAAAAAGGATTTGGCAATACTTCCTGAGGAGATAACACTTAAGCCTTGAGTCTTGGAGGTAAATATTTTCTTTTTCTTTTTTTTTTTTTTTAAAGATTTATTTATTTGTGCATACAGAACTGGGGTACAGGCCAGAGGGGCAGGGGCAGCGAGAGGATTCACCAGAGACAGAGTGGGGAGCAGAACAGGCCGAATGACGAAGTACACTGCTGAGGGGAGCATTGGGCGGGTCAGGAGAGGTCTGCCACACCATGTGGTTACCTCCGGGGCAGGCGGGGATTGAACTCATGCGGAAGTGGCTTTAGCTTCTTAGTGCTGCGCTTTAACCCGCTGTGCCACCAGGGAGGGCCAGAGGTAAATATTTTCAATAAACGATGACTAGAAGGCAAATCAGATTACTTAAGCAGAAATTTGGAGATGTCTGGGAAAGCATGATTATCGGTATCTACTGGGTGAATCATGTAGTAGAGGATGACTTTCAAGACACAGGGGCTTGCCAGGTCATTTATGGGTAAAGAGAAGGTATATGTCTGAACTAAAACATTGTCTATAATTTGCATGGCATTTTTCTCTTCATTATATAATTTAATTTTTTTTTTTAAAGATTTATTTATTTTTGCATACAGAACTGGGGTACAGGCCAGAGGCTCAGGGGCGGTGAGAGGCTTCACCAGAGACAGAGTGGGGAGCAGAACAGGCAGAACGATGAAGTACACTGCTGAGGGGAGCAGCGGGCGGGTCAGGAGAGGTCTGCCACGCCATGTGGTCACTTCCCGGGCAGGCAGGGATCGAACTCATGCGAAAGCGGCTTTAGATTCTCAGTGCTGTGCTTTAACCCGCTGCGCCACCAGGGAGGGCCTATATAATTTAATTTTTACCAATCCTCTGTGAGTAGAATTTTTTCATTCTAGTCTTTTTTTTTTTTTTTTTGAAGCAATAGCAGGCCATGGCTGTTAGAACTCTGTGGTAAAGGAGTTTCTTCAAGAATTTTTTTTAACACTAGAGAATAGGGAATATTGTCCAGGTATGCATAAGCAGAATTTCACCACATGAACACATGTTCATAACTGCATATAGTCTATCATGTTGAGGACTCTGGCTTTAGGTTCTTGTGGTTTTCTTAATGCACAGCTGGTGTGTCACTTTCTGATTAATGATGAACTCCAGGTAGAGGAGTTACTACACTTCTGTGTTGCAAAATAGATTTGAAATAAAGTCTTTTCCAAATATAGATAGGTTTTTAATATGTTACCTATTCATTCTTTTATTCATTGTGCTTTTAGGATTTATATTTAGAATTTTAATCCCTGAGACAAAGAACCTATTTGTGATGCAACTGAAGACATCAAATTTATTGAACAGTTCTAAAAGGACATTCTGGTTCATTTTCTTTCCAAATGAAAACATTTGTTTCTTCTAACAAGATTTATGACAGATTCTTTCTGATTTGTGGTCTTGGTGGGCAACAGATTAGAAAGGTTTTTGTGAAGCTTCTAGAAAGTTGTGAAAATTCAGTTTCTCCTTGTCATATATAAAGATGTATTGCAAAAACAGAGGATCAGAAGACATGAAATCAGTGATGGTAACTGTAAAAGCAATTTCATTTTTGCTCCATTCATTATATAGTAACATGATCAAGAGAATGATCAGATTTAAGCCCCAAAAAGAACAAAGGCTGGCTGTTGAATTCCCTTATTGTCACTTTCAGAAGACTTAATAAAAGCTCAGCAGTGCTAACAGTGATTAAGGAGGGGGAGAAACTAAAATGCATTCCTGTACACCTCTGATTATTTGATATATAATTTTCGAAAGTTGGAAAAACATTTTTGATGTTTAACTTGAACTCTGAAACAAATTTTTTATATTTGCCTACTGGTTTATTGATTATCTTTACTTGGATTTACCTTTGAAGGTAAAAATTTCTAGGTTCTTAGAAAAATCCTATAGTACAGAAAAATACAAATTCATCTTTAAAAAGATTTATTTATATATATATTATACAAGAACTGAGGTTCAGGCCAGAGGAGTGGGGTAAGAGGATTCACCAGAGACAGAGTGGGGAACACAACAGGCAGATCTACTGAAATACACTGCTGAGGGGAGCAGCAGGTGGGACAGGAGAGGTCTGCTGCACCATGTGGGTCAGCTCCCTGACCGGGGATTGAACTCATGCTGCCATGGCTGTAAATAGCTTCCTAGTGCTTCGCTTTAACCCCTTGCACCACCAGAGAGGCTCCCAAGTTCATTTTTAAAACAGTGTCAACATAACTTATAGACCTTGAACTCCCCTTAGTTTTAAAAATAAGCAAACAATTAGTTTTAAAAGCCCAAAAGGATTAGAGGCACTTAAAGTGGACTTTGTAGGAACCCAAGCTCAGGTGTTATTTTAACTTTTCTATATTAAGTATTAAATAGTATGCACTCTATAACCAGAGTGTAATTTTTTAGTTTATGTTATACTGGTTAAATACAATTATATAATTCCCAATGACTTCAAATCCTATTTGTTTTGTCTATTTACCCCCTTTTTTCTTTAAAACTTTCAAAGATTTAAACAAATAAAATTATCTGTTTTTGCAGTTTTAAGTAAAATGGAGTCTGTTAGTAATTAGTTAAGTATTACTTGACTTTACTTTTTGAAATGTGAACATTGGCCCTCCCTGGTGGTGCAACAGGTTAGGACGCAGCACTGCAAGCTGGTCGCAGCTGCTTCAGTGCCAATTCAATGCCCAGCCCCAGAAGTTACCCACATGGCACAGCAGACCTCTCCTGGCCCGCCCACTGCTCCCCTCAGCTGTGTACTTCATTGATCTGCCTGTTCTGCTCCCCACTCTGTCCCTGGTGAATCCTCTCACTGCCCCTGCACGTCTGGCCTGTACTCCAGTTCCGTATGCATAAATAAATAAATATAAAATAAAAAAAAATGCAGACATCAACAACTTAACTTTTTCTTTTTTATAAATTCACTGATGTCTAGTAGAGAAGGTGATACACCTCAGTTTGGGTTTAAGATCTCTAGGGCTAAAGATACTCTAGTACAGCTTCCCCATTTTATAGATAAAGAATTTTATAGAGCCTAAGGTAAGTCACCAGATTAACACTAAATTGCAAAATAAAGACTCAAATGCAGCTTTATTGACTGCTAATTCAGTACTCTAGATTTTCCAACATCTCTACTTACCTTTGTAATTAATCTATGGGCTATAAGTGCCAGTGTTGGACAAACAAAATAGGTGAAAGAATATGTCATTTTCTCCCCCATAGAGGCTTAATTTGTGAAAAGGGCCAGGTAATTATAGTTTCTCAGTGGTATTAAATAAATTTCACACTTTGATATCCCTAGTGATAAAATAATCCTATGTGCCTCTTCCTCTTAGGTTTCTTTGGAGTACCTCAGGGCCTTTTTGAGTTCCAGTTGCCATGTTTTGTGGATTGTGTTGCTTCTGGGGTCCTTCCTCTAATAGCCCTTTACTTGTGAGGAATCTTGATCTCTTTCCCAGTGTAGGATACACTCCAGCATCTTTTCCCTTCCCACACCTTCACAATATGCTAGTTCCTTTCTGCTTGAACTCCGTAGTTTTAGTTTCTTTTCATAGTGCAGTGTCCAAAGATTACACTCAGTTCAGAGTGGATTGGGACTGTCACTTTTCTTGCTTGCAAAACTATTTTGTCACTGTAGCTGAACTTAGGGGATTTTTCTTAGCTTCATCTTGCTATTGATTTATTGAGTCATAAATATTGCTAACTTACATCTCCTGCCAACCCCCTTGGTTTTTTTGTGTATGTTGTTTTTAGAACCTGAAACTTAACGGTAGAATAATGTTCAGTTTCATAAAGATGA